GATCCGATGGTGATTCAATCCTCGTCTATTCTCCGTAACCCTGGTAAGTCACTCCCTTAATACGTGTTAGGATAAAAATAAGAGTAGATGTAGACGATGACAATAAACAAAATAAAGAAAAATGGCCTATTTTGTTGGCCAGGACAATCTTACCTCCAAATTGTAACTTCGTCCCTTCCACCTTTACCTAAACACAAGAATATTACAAACAAGTTTTGATAGATCCCCAATCAGTCTCCTTTAGATCATTCACTAGTAACCTAAAGGATAGCAATGAGGAATGTGCCACCTAGAGCTGGCAATTATACCCAAAACCCAACAACCCACCCAACCCACCCACTAATTTAAGAGGTTGGGTTGGGTAAGTTGGGTATTGGGTAAATTTTGGGTTGGGTAATAAAAACCCATATATATTTTGGGCGGTTTGGGTATTTGTGTTGGGCACCCATTACCCAACTTTTCCCTCTTTGTATGTTTTTTATGCAAGTATAACCCATCCTGTTGACACATGGAAAAAGACATTCTTGTGTACAAAAGTGTTACCACCACCCCCCCAAAAAAAACCCCCCGGGGCAAAAAAAAAAAGTGTTAATTTTTGGAGTAAGTTCCCTGTATTTTGGTTGGACTTTTTGATGGTTTAATAAAGGGGTTAGCAATTATCATTTAAACGTAATTTGACCTCTGCTATTGTAGAGCAAGAATCATCAGCCTATGACTAGTTGACCGAGAGTCGTCCCTATGGCAAATATATATCAATAAACATTTCTGAGACAACTGTTGTAAAAATTGGTTTATGGAGCGATTAAATATTGAAGTAATAGCCAAATTTTTGTTAATCCTTTCACTAAAGATTTTTATGCTAAATGTTGAAATTATAAAGATATGGTTTATTGAAAGCTAATTATTTGACAAGAGATTCTTTGTTATAATTTTTTCCGTTACACTCGTTACATTATTTAGTTGATTGACATGTGTCCCATGCAATAATAAATAAGAATTTGAGTTTTAAAATATCTCTTAGTTTGGACCAAAGCTATACCCAGTTTGAAAATCCTTACTTGTATAAAAAATAGTGAGTTCATCCAAATAGTTTAAATAGTTAGTATGTGTATGTATTTGTGAAAGTATATTAGTGTGTATTGTAATGTGTTTGTATGTGTAAAAATAACATATTTCAAAATAGCTTAAGAAGTGAGTATATTTTTGTGTCTATGAGTGTTTTAGTGTGTAAAATTATGTGTATCTATGAGAAAATGTGTTTATGTGTGTGAAATTTTTTTTTTTTTGTATGTAAAAATGTATTTGAGAGAGTTTATGTATCAAAATCTATTAATTAATATATTGGGTCATATTTGGGTCATGGGTTTGAGATGACCCAATATGACCCAACCCAAAATTAACCCACTCTAAAGTTGGGCGGGTTGGGTATAACCCATTTAAATGAAACCCAACATTAACCCGCCCAAAATCCGCCCAACCCGCCCAATTGCCAGGTATAGACTGCCACCCATTCACGTGCCCGAAATCTTAAGGTCATTAAACCTTGTAAATGAGAAACCAATCTCAATTGACTCCGAGCATTTCAAATCCTTTTGATCCCCCAGGCTACACCTACAAGACAGTTTGGTTCCAAACTTTTTCATTTCAGAGCCACATAAACTAATACGGTATTCATATTTATTCTGTTTCAAGAAAACAAACAAGGATGACTTTCCAACCTGGTGGAACCCCCATTTGGCTTTGATACCAAAACCCCTCTTGTATATTACTTTGCTTGATGGAAAAGGGCTTGCTGCAAAATTTGTAACATGTAATAGTAAGTCCTATAGGTCTTACTAATACATATTACAACTTTTGTATAATTCTATGAAATTTGCAAAAAATCCCATAAAAGTCATCTTCTTTTTATTGAACTCCGTCGTAACTGCCCATAGAGTCCAAGGATTCTTCTGCCTGTTTGTTCTTTGATGATTCTAAATAGACCTTGTGATTGCGATTGGTCTAGTTGCTGTAGAATCTGTTTACGTTATCTGACAGATTCTTCTTTGTTGGTGATAGATGCCAATTTTGGTGCTGATAAAGTCTTTTGTTGCAGAAACTAGGATACTTGGTGATCTGCCTTTTTAATAGTTTTGGGGTTCCTTTCGAACCATGCTTGAATATGCTGCGATTGAATATAAGTTGTGATGAAAGGTGACCACCATTTTGTGTAGCCTTATCCGACTAACAGAGGTGGTAAGGACTGGGCCTATATATTTGATGAACTCGAACTTCCATTAGAAGACCCAAACTACAGAGAAGACTGAGAAATAGCGCAAGGAGGTAAAGGTGATAGATGAGAAGAGAGATTTTGCAAAGGACCAAACTCCTTCTAAACTCCTCCTATTAAATCTTACTTATTTTGTTCTTTTTTCATTATTTTAAAATCTATTTCCTAAATCCATCTTTAAAGTTTCTCGCCTACAACCTTCGCAAATTTCTTTTCTAGTGAAATGGTTCTTGATTTAATAAAAAGTAGAGGCATGTTCTTGATTGATAATATGTTTATTTTTTCTTATATTAAAATTATTTCTTAATTTCATCAGACGTGTTCAAATTCAAAAAAGTCCTTTATCTTCGTAATGCTTGATTAAAGAGTTCCATCTTTTGTATACGTGACTTCATGAGATTCACTACCCTGTCACTAGTGTATATGAAAGTTTTTATCTTCTTCAACAGGCAATGGTTTCTTTTATAGCATCCATATTAAATCAAATGTCTTATAACAGTGTCTATTTACCAATGTCTTATAACATTGAACCAGTACAATAAACAGCACAAGTTGACCAAAACAGGTATTTTTCCTTTTCCTTGACAGCTTCTCGGCTGCTTTCATTCTAGACTCGTTATTCACAACACCATGTAGAACATTTTCTTCCCAATGTCCCTTACTAATTTATCCATTAAAGTGAAAATAAATTGAGCAGTTTTGTTAACATTGGTACAGTCAGTAGAACTATGATATATCATATGTCGACATATCATAAGGTTGATTATTATTGGATATTTTGTATGAATGCTCCTCCGCCCATCACATATAATTATACATCCAAAAGTTGGCAATTCATCCCTAACGTGGTAAGTTGAGGAACCTTTAATACTATGATCAACTTTAGCAATCTAATCAATAACTGATTGTAGTATTGGTCAATATCAGCTGCATGAAATGGTATAGCATCAAAATTTAAAAAAAAAAATTAAACTTGCCTTACTGAATCTCTTTATATTTTCCTCCGCAAATGAGATTTTATCGATTTTGTTTGCAATGAAACATACTTGGGGTTAGCACTCTAAATGAAAATTCAACACCTTGTTTGATAGTACAGCTGTGTGATGGTCTTCTTTTACTTCTAGAAGTTGTTAATTTTGAGGTAGCAGAATAAACATATCCTAAAGTTGCAATTTTCAAATAAAAAAATATTTTTAAAATTTTTTTCTAGCAGAGAAGAAATAAGACTTAAGAAGCGAAAAAGGGATAAGCGAATTAAAACTCAAGACCTCTACTTTTTTTAAAAATAATATTTAGATGTGAACAATTTTGTAACAACTTACTTTACAAGTAATATCTGGCATAGGCATAGAAGATTGACTTTTTTAGGGTTAAAAATAAAAAAGCCCCCTGTGCTAAACCTAATACACAACTAAGCCCCCTATGGTTTCAAAATATGCAACGCGACACCTCGTGCTTTGAACTAAGTTGTAACACTGACGGAAATCGGTAAAATTAACGGGACTGATGTACTGGAAGCTAAAAACAAATTCTTTATACTTAATTTTTAGCAAATATTCCTATTGTACACCTTAGCCCCCAATAAAACTCCCTCCCAGCGATGCTTGTGTATAGAATCGATTTCTACTTGATGGAGAGAAATTGAACTAGCCTTTGGGAGAAATCAAATTACCACACAGGAGGTTTGAAAGGTAAAGCCATCCTCTATATACGAAGTCAACCTGCGAGGAACTTCTACACAATCTTGGCTAACAAATTGCAGCCCATAAGGTAAAAGCATTTGATTTTGGGTTTTGGCTAACAAATTGTTGTTATTAGGGTTTAAAGTAAGAATGTTGGTAACTAAATTGGGATTTATCTACTGATGAAGGGAAATGACTGGCTAAAAAATTTGCTCATGTCTTCCTCAAGCTCTCGAGGGGATAGTGGAGCTAGGAATCTACGGTACCAATATAAGTTGTGCGACTGTCGAAGAAAGGCAAAGGTGAAGATTGTTGAGTCCGAAAAGCCATCCAAAGGGATGCTGTACTTTGTTTGTGAAAGGGATGCATGCAGATTTTTCTCATGGTGTAATCCCATCTATAGAGATGAAACCGGCAGAGGAAACTTTTTTGAGAGGCCAATGGTTGAAGAACATTTGTCTTGCTTGAACTCGAATTCTGAAGTGAAGAACTTGAATGATGAAGTGAAGAACTTGAAAGTACTAGTTAGCTATTGTCTAATGGTATCTATTTTTTCACTTTTGCTTCTGTTGATGAAAATGTCTGTAAAATAAGACAATGAAGAAGCTTATGAATGGAAATGAAAAAAATCAGGTAGTTTGTTTTGTTCATGGAAATGTGCACTTTATTCTTCTGTTTTTCCGAAAGATGTCCTACCTAAAACAATGAAACAAACATCTAACTATTATATACACTTGTAAGCATATTTGTGCATTAAAAACAGTTTTGAGCAATAAGCACACACAATAACGTCTTCTGCATTCCAATTTTGAGTAATAAGTACACCAAAGTACATTAAAATTTCCAGTCCATAAACTATTCCAGAAATATATCCCACCCAACATTCCAGAAATATATCCCACTATACATTCCAGAAACGATAACAATTTCAAATAGAGTAGACAAAATACATCCCACCAAACAAAAACTGCCCAGACAAACAGTACATGAAATATTCCAGCCCATAAAAACTGCCCAGAAATAGCTTCTTCTGCAATTGAGATATACCATTGCAGCCCATAATCATAATGCTCCATTAAAACAGTCAATAAGTACATTAAAGTGTCCAACATCAGCAAAGAATCCTCCAAATTGCTGAAGCCAACAACATCCAATCAAAATACATCAAAGTTTCCAGTTTGCAATAATTGATAACAATTCCAAACAGAGTAGACAAAATACATCAGAAACATACATTCCAGCTGTTTGCCACCAACTCTAACAACAACCACTAATTCCTTAAAACTACACAAAAAGGCAATCAACAAACATACAGTCCACTTCAAAATTCAACTCTAACATCTTCTTGCTTTCTTGGATCTTAGGTTGTATAGGACATCAGCAACAGTAGGACGAAGGGGTCCTTTTGCTAGTGAAGTTGTTCCACTCACAGGCTGCAATTGAAGTAGAAAATATGAATGTTTGAAGGAAAAATGCTTCATTAAATCACTTTTGCGTTACATGAAATTCAACCTGAGAACATGATTGTCTAGCAGGCACATTTTTTGCTACACTCGCAATTGTTGGCTGCGTATACTGCTTCCCGGGCCTGCAATTTTTTTTTTGAACAGGTGCAGCTTGTTCTTGATTTGGGACTGGTTGCGGGGGTACTATTGGTGAAGGAGCTGATGAATGAAGTTCTGAACTTGATTCAGCTACATTGGTGTCAGGAGCCTATAAAAAACAAGTTCATTTTAATGTTCAATTAAAATGATTTGGGACAGCAATTAGTCTTAGCCTATGAAATCTGTAAGCTATGTTACCTTGTAGAATTTAGAGTTGAGATGAATGGCATTCTTGCAGGTCCTTGAATTGTGTCTTGGCTGAAAACATCTCTTGCAAGTTACCACAAGACCCTTTCTGGTTGAGACCTGACCCTTTTTAGGCTCGTCGGCTGCCCTTTGCCGCATCTTTTTGGGTCTGCCAGGCATTCTTCGAACTGCAGGAGGTTTTGGGGGTTGTTCTTCACATCTCACCCAGTACTTATTACTTGGGACAGGTGTGATAGTGTGCTCATATGTTTTCAAGTAATTTTCTCTACTGTAGCAGGCATGCACATAATCAAGCAAAGGCAATCTACGTGCTCCTATTGCAGAACATGCATGAGCACAAGGATAACCTGTAAGCTGGAAATAGCCACATGTGCAAGTCTTTTCCTTCAGATCCACCACAACAGATTTTCTGGGCCCACAATCAATTTCATATTTGTTCTTGCCATCCCATGTGGGAATACACAGCCTACTGAATTTCAGATTCCTATCAATCTTCTCTGCAATGTTAGGACATATTTTTCCTTGAAATTTCTGCATACCAGTCCTCTTCACTTGAATCCTTTGCATGAGCCTTCTTCGAATCCACTCAAGCATCCCTATGACAGGTAGCTCTCTAGCTTCTAAGATATAGTTATTAAATGACTCACAAAGATTGTTCACAAGAATATCACATTTGCTACTTTGTCTAAAATGTGACCTGCTCCATAAAACACTTGGCACTTTTTGCAGCCATTCAGCTGCATCCTTTGAAGCTTTTTCAAGGGAATTCATTGCTAATTTCCAGTCCACTTCATTCCCAGTACTTGCTGCTGCCCAGAACAAGTCCTTCAACTCTTTTCCTTTGAACTTCTGTTTGAAATTTTGGTACATATGCCTCAAGCAAAACCTGTGTTCAGAATTTGGAAATAACTCATTCACTGCATGGACCAGTCCTTTTTGTCGATCTGAGATGAATGTCCAGGGTATGTTTTCCACACCAAGTCCCAGATCAGCCATTAGTAGTTCCAGAAACCACTTCCATGAGTCATACCTCTCTACCTCTACCACTGTTACAGCTATTGGAACCATATTGTCATTGCCATCTCTACCAATTGCTGACAACAACTGACCACCAAATGCAGATTTCAAAAAACACCCATCAAGACCAATTATTGGTCGACAGCCATCGAGGAACCCCTGTTTGCAAGCATAAAGACAGTAATACAGTCTTTGAAATGTCCCTTGTGAACCTTCTTCTGCTGTATCAAGCTTAATCTTGACAGTGCTACCAGGATTTGTCTCTCTAATTGTAGCTGCATAACTCCAAAGGTGGTGATATTGCTCCATATCCGTGCCAAGCATCTCATCTTTTGCACATCTCTTTGCTCTGCGTATCTTGGCAACGGACACGTTAATCATTAGATCTCTTCTAATATCATTCTGAAATCCTATTGCAGCACACTGCGGGTCACCTCTTATCTTGTCTTGGTACTTCACGCTCAAATACTTGGCTGTTGCATGCTTGTTGTTGTAATCTCTAGCACAAACATGCTGGCCCTTCAATGATTTAATTTGAAAAGTAGTTTCACCTTGGACTGGTGTTGCACGAATCCTCCAAGAACAGCCCTTTGCACACTTCGCAATAATTTTTTTCGAGTAATTTTTTACCCAATCAACCTCATATCCCTCTCTTACCAACCATTCGATCAACACATATCTAAAAACTCTGAAATTGGAAAACTTTTGCCCAACCTTCAACTCAAAATGTGGCTTGAGAAACTCCACTTCAGGGTTAAAGTCATGACATTCTTCATGGCCTTCATCATTAGATCCGCACTTGTCCAGCAACTCTTCATCAGAAATTACTGGTTCTTGCCAATCCTCTTCGGGTGTATGTGGTGCTCCTTCTTCTGTTGAACTTTCCTCAGCCTTTTTACTGTTCCCTGCTTCAGCTTGTGATGGGATCTGAGATGGGTGTTGGTCAGCAGCTTGAGATGCAGCTTGAGATGAATTCTGAAATGAGATATGAGGTGGAATTTCTCCAATGCTATCTGGCCCTGCAGACTGCTTCTTATTTTTACTAGACTTTTTTTCCTTACTAGTTTCACTTTTGGCACGGCTCTTGATAGCCACCTTCTCAGGGAAAGAGAACACGTGATAAGGCTTAAAATGAGTGGAATGGAGTATGGATCCACCTTCTGGTTTACTACTTCTGTCCACATCTTTTTTACTTGCGAAAATGTCCTCATCCTCTTTTTTTTCCAACCCCTCCTTCAACCATTCAGGCTCATCATCATCATCATCATCATCAGTGTTAAATGGCTTATTTGAATTGCAATTACTAACCCCATCATTTTTTTTTGTACCCCACCATCTCTGCTGTCTATTTTGGTGTTATGTACCCCATCTGCATTTTTAATTGTTGTTGATGCATCCATTGTCGAATTTGGCTCCAACACATTGTCCCCACTATGTTCTAGTGGCTTTTCAAAAGGATCATCCCCACTACAGGCATATATTATCCTTGTTGCCAAACCCCAATGTGCTTTATTCATTAATTTAACATCATCATGGTCCCTAATTGGATGTAGACCACCATCTAAGTCTACTCCTGGAGCACAAAACCAGAAAGTCACTCTAGTTGCATCCTCATCCACTTTTTTAAACATTCTGCAAAGGCTAACTATGCAGATGTGGTCCTCAAGTCTATTTTTAAAGATAGCCATACGGGTTCCTGTGTAGTGGAGGGCAGGATATTCTCTAAATTTTCCATCAAAATACATATGTATATCTACTGTCTCCTCTGACTTGTCTTCTTCTGTTGAATGTTTCAAGAAATATAATAAATATGCTTTAGTCTCCCAACTACTATGTCTCCATCATTGATATACAGAAAACCAAATAAACATAAAAGCACAAACAGAAAACCAATTTTAATAGCATTCTGGACCACTAAACCAGAGAAGACAGTAACAATTATAGAAATTTTACTTACAATTCTTTGTTAAATATCTTGTTGTAATAGCAAGTGACTGAGTTGTACTCAAACACACAAACACACACAAACAGAAACAGATCCTACTCAACACCCCTAATCAGTAAAAATTTCCCATCACAAATGGAAATTTCAGAAATTATTTGCGTCACCTAGTCAACACCCAAATATCAACAAAAATCTCAACTTTAAATCCAAACTTGCAGTCCCAAATCAGCAAAAATCTCCCATCAGAAATGGACATTTCAAAAATTATTTGCATGACTCCTAGTTCCAACACCCAAAATTTTTTAAAAAAATCTCGGCTTCAAAACTAAAGTCGTAGTCCCAAAACAGCAAAAATCTTCATTTTAAATCCAAAGTACCAGTTTCAAAACTCACAAAATCAGGAATTTTCTAAGGTAAACACCCAAATACGGGTGTAAATAACATCATCAGCCCTCAAAATCTGAGATGGGTAACCCTAAATTGTAAACTAATTATAACATGCATGAACTGATTTTAATTAATTATAACATGAACGAAATATAGCATACATACCCATTTGCCTTCGATTTTCTGGAATAAATCTTCGTCTCCTTCGATTTTCTTACTTGATTCCGTCTCCTTCGTCTCCTTCGATTTACTTCCTCTCTCTCTCTCTCTCTTCGTAGGGTTTGAAGGGAAGAAATGAGTCCGCTCAATTGCCTTTTGGGTATTATACAAGGGCATTTTGGTCCTTTCATCAGTTCCCGTTAATTTTACCGATTTCCGTCAGTGTTACAACTTAGTTCAAAGCACGAGGTGTCGCGTTGCATATTTTGAAACCATAGGGGGCTTAGTTGTGTATTAGGTTTAGCACAGGGGACTTTTTTGTTTTTAACCCACTTTTTTATAATGAATGCCTTTGTTGCTTTTCTAAACATTGCAAGTAATGACTCTTTTAGATAGATTGCTTGAAATGTGCACCTCTTTTTTTTTTCCCTCGGATGCCACCATATTTTATTTGTCAATTCCGCAGATGTCATCATCATCCTCATCATCGATGACATTAATATTCTGGTTTTTCATCATGTAAAGAGTTTAATGTTGCTTCCTTTTTTTTTATTGCTGCTCTTTCAGTCTTGTAAGCTCTTAAATGTACTTTTATTATTTATATACTCACTCTGTCCCATTTTAATAGTCATGATTTATTTTCATATAGTTTAAGAAAAATTAGTTAACTCTATTGAAAAAGTATCTGACCTATTATTTTTCTAAAATATTCTTACATTAATATTGAGAGGATGACTAATTACTATACCTTTACATTAATTACAACAACTATTGCATAGAAAGTAGCATCACTCAAGCTATGAATCCAAAAAATTAGTAGGCGTTTGGTTAGCACATTTGAATCAAATTCGAATTTGGGATCACTCATCTTGGGTTTGGTATAGAGTCAGTCATTCCAATACATCTGTTTGATTCAATACCAGGAATGTATATCATTATTATAATCGATGTTTGGTTCATTGGCTCTTTCAAAATGGGATATAAAAAATTTTCACTAATTAAATGTATTAGTATAAATGTATTAATAAATTTAGTCTAACTAATTAATAATTTCAATTAGTAAACATGTATAATTATTAGTATAATTGATAATATTAATTATATTACATATACTAATATACATTGTATAACACATATAACTAATAATATCATTACTCTAAGTTTGTAACTAATTAAATTAAATATTATATATAAATAAATATAATTATACTAATATTATAATATAATTATAATTATAATTATATAATATATATAAATATTAATTATACTAATATATTATATAATTATATTATAAATAAATAAATATAATTATACTAATATTATAATATAAATATAATTATATAATATATATAAATATTAATTATACTAATATATTATATAATTATAATAGGGCTAATCCCTCGTTCCGTCTGGTATTAGAGCCAGAAGGGGAAGTGGGGTGATGGCTATCTTTCTCTACTTATTATGATATTGCTAGTATAAAATCTACAAGTTTAGATCTAACTAATGAGATTGGTTAATTTGGTAATTACTATATTTGAAAATATATATTATAATATTCTTAGCATTAATCTAAAAATATAGATCTGCGATGATGAGCATGGAACCTGTAATTACGAACCACCGGTCCAGGCAGTAAGGCCATCGGATTTGGCAGTAAGTGTTCCAAAGTACAGATTTATTTTTCTAGATCTATATACTAATTTCATTATAATTTGTTTGAAAGCATAGTCGTTATTTTTAGTTAACTTGTCTCAAAAGTCCAGATCTAATCTTGCAAGATCCATATTGTCTTTGTTATAATCAGTTTATAAATATAGTTATCTTCCATAGATCCCAAAGGATTCTGTAGCAAAGGGAAGATGATTATTTTATTTTATGGCTTCTTTTTATAGAACAAAGTCTAACCTTCTCAAATCCTCCCTAAACACCAAACTAATAGATGATCTACAAATCTGAATTGTTCGGATCGAGCAATCATTCAAAAGAAACTAGAAAACAAACCTCCTGAATTCCAAATCGACAAGTAAAAACTTAGATTTGAATTCTTTGCAAACTACAACCAATTTAAAAGAAAACAATTTATTGAGAAATATCAGGGAGAAGTCCGAAAAAACATATAAGAAGACTTCTATGACTTCTTAAGGAAAACAAAGCAACATATCCAATTTTTTGACCGGTATAAGTCCCAAACAGCCTAGTTTTCCACACCAGAACTCATAGATCCACTCCAAACTAAGCCAAAACCCATAAATCTATCCATAGATCTATCTCAATCAACTCATCTACTAGAATCCTTTTATAAATTTTCAGTAGAATCCATAAATCTAACAAAATCAATCGATGTATGCATACCAGAATTTATAAACATACCAAATCCACAAGAATCCTTGAAACACAAACTTATAGATCTACCAGATTCTCCAGTAGATCTATCAAACCTAGTAGAACTACCAAATCAAGAGTCTATCGATACTTCAAAACTTTTGGTATCCAGTCAACCAATAAACAATTTTGATAATACCACAAGTCTTGAAACAGAGAAAGATATAGAAGATTTCACAGTAAATGTCTTGACAAAAACTCAACCCCTTGTCAAACCTGAAACTGTTAAAGATTTTAAAGCAGAAATTGCTTCTATCAAACGGGAAGCTAAGATAATTGAGACTACAGCTTAGTCTGCCACTGAAGATCCCTAGGATCCTTCTCAACCAAACATAATATCTTATAAAAAGCATTTTATTCTTATAAAACTAGTTATCAGTAAATATTGCAGAAATAGAAACTTTATTTGATACATGAGCTGATTTTAGCTATATTTAAGAAGGGCTTATTCTAACAAGATTCTTTGAAA